TAGTGCAACATATCCAAAACGGTGATGTACACTGGTTTTTGCTGCTATACTGCGGTTAATATATTTCTATGTATATTCTATTTCAACTTTATATTCTATTTTCTATTAATTTTCCATTTAAATTTACAAATTTTAATATTAATACACTCTGCTAGGCTGATGGTGAGTTAATGCAATGTAATTTCGTTCTGCTACGCACTAACCGGTGTATGTTCTGAATGACCTAACAGTTTGAGATTTAAGCAAATAAAAAATGAGCTTGACCCAGATTAATTAAAAAGTGTCATCACTGGTGGCAGACATAAAGCACCGTTATCTATTAAAAAGAGATCTCTTTTAGTACATAAATGCCTCCAATAGTTCTAAAATAACTTACGGAACTTTCAAAACATCAATCATGCCCTAACACAGTGGCTGGAAATGAACTGATTAGTCACTACTCGTATAGATAGCACCATCAATCTAATTCTCCAGGTAAAAAGAATAACTGCTGACAGGCCCTGTCATTTATATCCTCAGAAGTCAGGTGACACTTTGCCCTTACAAGTTTACATTTAATTTTTTTTTTATCTAAACAAACATACACTTTTTTGTAAAAGCGGCATCAGATAATCTCTGGAGCATTTGAGGCCTTGCTCAAGAGCTCAACGATGGAATCGCTCTGCCAATGCTAGGATTTGAACCAACGGCCTTCCGATCACAGGCAAAGTGTCCTATACCCCAAGTACCCACCTCCTTAGCTAATGGTTCATGTAAGTCAGTGGTTCTCAAACTTTGACACATGTACCACTGGCAGTACGCAGGCTACACTAAAGTAGTATGGCAGTACGCAGGCTACACTAAAGTAGTATGGCAGTACGCAGGGTACACTAAAGTAGTATGGCAGTACGCAGGGTACACTAAAGTACTATGCAAAAATATCCGCTTGTTAAGTCTGACAGAACACATGACATAAATACTGTTTCTGGAGCCTGATGGTCCAAACAAACCACAATGGTCGAACCAGCAACACTGTCCACATGACTTTTATAGCAAGGCACTGTTAGAGGGGGAAAAGGTGCTAAATTCCTTTAATTCAAATAGCGATGAGTGCAGCTGGCCTCGCAGGATGAATCATCGGTACATGAGTGTTACATCATTTTCACCAGAATATTAAAGCACCAGAATATTAAAACTTCACAATCTTTCTGATTTGTGGCTGAACACATCTCCACTACTTATGCTGTGTTCCATGTGAACTCATAAGTTCCGAGTTCCTAGTCGGAAATTCCAACTGAAACGGCCCCTGAAATCGGAATTCCGACTCATGAACTCAGAAATCAGCACAACCGTGAGCACAGAATTCAAGATGGCTGTGCCCTTTATCTACAGAAGTTTAAGCTATAGTTCATACTGTCTTATTTGTGGCTCATTAAGTTGGTTGTACAGTACATACAGTACTGTCCAACCGGTATCTGTGGATTTGTTACCATGTGCAAAATACCATGTAATGTGTTGTTATCCAATGATATTGCTAACAATGGCTAACAATTAAATAACTGGGGCCCGTTTCATTAAGCATGACTTTGCTTAAGCAGACAACTTGTCAGATTTAAGGTAGTTTGGGCTATATGTAAGTGAATAATGATAAAGCCCATTTAAACTGGGCTAAATCAAATCCAACAAGTTTAATCCGGGTAAGCAAAAAATCTTGCTTTTTGAATCGGGTCCCTGGTACTGCTAAATGGCTTTCCGACTTGCTGTACTGGAATGCTGTTAACTTGTGTGTGACGTCATTCCCAGTTCCGAATTCCGACCTCAGAGGTAAATGAAACACAGTGTTCATATGTTCATATGTAGTGATTTTATACTACATACAAGTCATAAAAGGCAGTAACAAGCAAATACAGATTCTTACCTGTGATCCAATATCATTGTACATACAATTCACCACATTGTCCAGCAGGTTTATGTCCAGCTTCTGATTGAAGTCCAGCAGCTGCCTAGCTGCATGGTCGGCTAACATTGTCATAACTGCTGGCATAGAGCTCTACAATGACAGACAGAATGATGGTGGGTTGTGACTGAGGGCATGAAACAGTCCAGTAAAAGGCCAGGTGAATCAACCAGTGTCGCCCCCCCTTACGTCTGTTTAATGCATATGCGCGCACATGATTCTAAACACGTCCACCAACTGATAACTCTCCTTTTAACGTCAAAAACCTTTTTGTGTTCCACCCCACAAAACCGAACTATTGATGCGGTACTGATGAGCAGCCTATTGTCTTCTAAATGCCAGAAACATGGTAATTTCTCTAATTTCATCCTGTGTAAAAACAGTGTTCCCACAAAAGTCTATGAAAACAATTCCAGCAAAGTCTACGTTAATCGATGTACTATGTTACATTGTTTACATCTGCAACTTGTAGGCGGGGCAAAAAAATTAAGGCCACTATCCCCAAAGGACAATGCTGTGGCCTTTACTGTATTCAAATAAGACTCAAAAGATCTATGAATGCCAAGACAAAAGTTTCATCATTTAATCGGTCTCATATTTAATCGTACCCAGTTTACACCAGTTTTTCTCATTCATGTCGGTCGACCAAATTTCAGCAATATTTCCTAACTATTTTACGGAAAATTATTTGTTTGAGATGCTCTTCACTTTTTAAAGCCTATCCTAATGATTCTTCAAATTCGTCTCGAGCGATGACAGCAAAGTGTCTAATGCACGCAAGAGATACTTTATTTCTTAACTCGAGTCTTGCTATAGAACTGCTGAATATTGTTTACAATACAATTAATATCCGATTTACAACAAATCTCGTCTAATTAACCGTATCTAGACTGCAAGGTAATTATCAAAGTATGACCTAATGACACATACTAAGTGTCAAGACTATGTAAAAGACAATTATATTAAACTCTCAGTAACAACAAAAATTATTTGGATTTAATATGTGTATTATACAATTGCAAGTCGACCCCCAGAGCCAGAGGAGTGACGTGAATATAAATTCCATATTTAATCGTTCTTCAATCCGTCATCAAAATGGATTTATTTCAACTGAGACAACCGCAACAAATCACGCTGATAAAACGTCATTTGTTTTGATAGGTGAATTTCTGGAGTAATGTTAGCGCATCGTTCTCCCGCAGGCGCAAAACCTATGTATGACATTATGTCCCCAGGACGTCGGACTATTAAAATCCTTTCTAAAAAGACGATTATGCAGTCAGCTTAATGCGCTACGGATGAGCCGTGCTGACCAGCTGAACGTCACCGGCCATAGCAGGCTCAGGACCAAGGTAACGACACCTCGCTCCGAAGGCTCGTGCACGTGATCCAGCTGCCGACATCGCAGCTCGCGGCTGCTGGAACAATTTCTAGAATCTTCCGCCGCACTTCCAACTTTCTGCCAGCTCCGCAGCTAGGTGCTCGTTAAATAATGACAGAAAAAACGAAACTAAATAAGCATCTGCCGAATCGGTTTCATCCGCTCAAGGGCGCCGTAACCAGGCAGCCAGTAGTTGGGGAGACGCGACTTTTCATTCAATTGCAACCAAGGCCCTAGCTTGGCAGAATCGCACAAATCCATGAGTTATCAGTGTCACATGTCGCACTGCAACAACTACCCTCTCGCGGTCGCGCAAATCCTTAGATAGTAACAAATTACTTACCTAAGTTAAAAATCACTGTCCACCTCTGTTGATTTAATTCCACCAGTGATTTAGCCAAATAGACTATAGTGGTCGAATGTCTATCCAATTGTGCACAAATCTATTTTACGTATAACCTAGTGTCTAACGAGTTATCATCATAAGAAGTGACAAGGACCAGAGTTATGTATTAAGGAGACAACTTATGAACTGGCCCAATCACCTTGGAAAACTTTAACCCAAAGCCTTGAATGATGCGCGGTACAGCAATAGCAATATTATTCAGCTATCTGCCTTGCTAATTAACAAGACGGGATTCAACTCAGAATCGCTCCCAGTTCCCCTGGACTGAATATTTGTAAGTTAGCCTAAAAAAACCACTGGTGTAATCCCCCTAATGTCTACGACACGCTGAGCATTGGATAGCTCCGCCTCATTTTCACAAAATAAAGAACGAATCCTTGCTTCACCGCTGTGTTGCTTTCTGAATTACTTTTGTGCAGCAAAGCGGTTCTAAAGACTGTAACCCTGTGCTTCCCCTCTTCTCGGGCGACAAACTCGTAACCGGATGAAACCGGTTCAGACTGGGAGATTCCATCTCGGTTTAGTTTTCAGCCGATGGCGCCACAGACATTTTTGACAAAGGTCACGCCCATTACGCAATCCGATAGGCTGGAGGGCATCAAAGCCCTCGATCTATAGGCTGACTCAGTCGTCAATCCTTTTCAATTCCAGCAAACCAGCCCCTAACTTCTCCGCCCCTTCTATGAAAAAGAAGGCGGGCTTATCATGGACCCAAGTTCCTTGCTAGCTTTCTCTGTCAAAATACAAATGTAATTTGTGCCATACGAAGCATCTGCATCCGTTTTCTCCCCGTCACTAAGCGATTTTAAATGGTGACAGAATTTAGCCGAACTATCGACGTTTCAATGGTTAACAATGCGGTCAGTAAATAAAGCAAACATATAACGTGCAAACTCACATTACCGTCGAAAAAGTCCAGCAAAACGTGTAGTTTTACATGTATCGCTCTTTTAAAAGGAGTATTTTTAAAGTCCCGTAAAAGTGCTTAGGCACAGCCTTAGATTTTGGTATAAGTGTTGCTGAAGCGATTCTATGAACCTGGTAATTTTCCACTGACCACAAAGGGGAGTGGCTGCGCTGGTGAACTAGAGCAGAGTAATAGTACAGGCTGGGCACTAGGCACAAGGTTAAAACTTAACAAATATATCCTCGTTTTATACAGGGGGTGAAGGCTAAGAATAAACTAATAGGTACATCGGCGCGTTTATAAAGTTTCTGCAGAGATTTCAAAATGCGGGTTAAAGGCGTATTTTCACAAATGCCCGCCCTATGTTACGTCATGGGCTACAGATTCAAGCGAATGCTTGGAAGTGGAAAAATACTGGCTTCGGATCCGGCTTAAAATGCGCAGCGTGGTGGGAGCAGGGGCAATGCCACTGACCGAAATGCTGCTATTGTGTGTACTGCACGAAATACTTTACTGTGTAAGTTACAACAACTATATATGCAATCGCAAATTACAGGAATCACTGAGGTAGATGTAATTACTCTATAATGCATCTAATAAGATCACTTATTTTAGTGTTTCAAAATAAGTGAATTTAACTGTAATTTGGGCTATCGATTAGGCTAATTGAAAACACATATACCCTTTTTAACGTTGTATGTATGGAAATAACAAAAAAAAAAAATCAACATCAGTGTCTCTTGTCTCTAAGATATTTTCACATCCAAGCTTACTGAAATGTGTTGTTGTTCAGGTGGGTTGATCTACGTACCAAATAATGATTGTTTCCATATATTGACAGTTGTAAGCTCTAGACAATGGGTTCAATCTATCAATAAAATAGTTTTAATAAGTATTTAAATTAAAATGACATTATTGGCTTGATTGACCATCTTTAAGCATTCAGTAATGCAGAACAGAAGGAATTTCTTCCTCTTTCTTTCTGCTTTTCAGTAACCCAGAACACCTGCACAAGGTCTGTCTGTGATGTTCTGGGGAGAAGGAAACATGGTAATGATTAAGGCATAGTCTGACTGCTTAGGTAGTATGGCAAGCCAAATTGTCTTTTATTAGTATAAGCCTGACCTGTCATAACATAATTAATTCTTACTAGTAAAATAACATTCTTATAAACCAGTCCAATGTAAAACTAAACAAGAAGGGAGAATCTGGAAGTGTGCTCACTTGGGAATATGTTTCAGGTTGACTATCGCCATTGTTTTCTGCTTTTTTCCCTCTTGCTGAGTATGATTGGCGTAATTTTATGTCTCACAGGATGCCATCCCCTCCCTTGTCCCGTCCCTTCTGCCCTGATACAACTTCAAAGTTCACATTTGCATGAAATTACAAGAGCCCTGCATTTTTGCAGCACATTGTGTAGATGTACATTTTGTTGCATGTGTGATTGCATGTGATGTACATTTTGTTGCATGCGTGATTGCATGTGATGTACATTTTGATGGGAAATAAAACCAAGAACCTGTTAAAGGCTGTACTCTCTACAAAACCCCATTGAGTGATCTCTTGCATTTTTACTGCTATTGTGAATTTTAATTAATTTTAGTTTGATTCTTTAGGTTTCCTTGGAGCTGTGTAAAAGTACTTTTATTATGAAATCATTAAACAGCATTTAACATTGAATTTGCCATAGATATTCGTGTTGTCATGTAATATTTTGAACCCACAATATGTATTTAAACTGCACCACCTAGTGTGTAAAATCAGACTGCACCTTTTATTTGAACAAATATTGACCATCTCAAACATAATTATTTAAAATCAAGCTAGCACTCCTTAATCTTTAAGATTGCTCACACCTATAACACATGCATTTTTCCCCATCTGTAAAAAATGCATAATTAATCTGTTTTTTTATTGAGAATTTGCAACAGAAAGTGAATGTTAAAAGGTATGATGAGCACTTCACGTCACGTTTAATTTTATTAAAAATAAGGAACTGATATATAGCAGGAATGGTTAAAACCACATGCTCTATAGTCTATATCAAAAGAGGATTCTCTAGCTCAGGGTTCTTCAACTCTGGACCTCGATTCCAAATCCAGGCCTTGTTTTCAGTTCTCCCAGGTAGTTGTTTAATAATTACTGATTCTGATTGGTCAGAGGCTTCACACCTGACTGACAGGTAAAGGAAGGCTGGAAAACCAGCAGTGCTCGGACCTCGAGGACCGTGAGTTGAAGAACCCTGCCCTAGCTCATAGAACAGTTAATTATCCAAGGAATTTTTATTTTGGGCTTAAGCTCTGAGCATATATCAAGCACTACCTTTCATTGAATTCATGTAACGAACTTACGTACTTCATGTTTTATTTTGAAATGGACTGCATTATGCAGATGCAGGACTTTCACTTATGCACGTTCACAAACACAAAGTCATTTTATAAATAACAGGTATATCTTGTATAAAACCCCAGAAAATGAAACCAACAGGGTTGTACATAACACTTTTCTGTAAGAACAAATATTTATAGTTTAGTGAACATAAAATAATCATTATAGTTGCTAAATTATAAATGTACATTTGCGATATTTTAAGTTACATTTACAGTGTGCTGGTTTGGTTAAGAAATTAAGATTTTACTGGGCAATTGGGTAATGGTTTTAAAAACCAAAGGAACATCATAATGTTAATAAGGGTTATTTTTATTATTTTATTCATAATTCAGCTGTAAAAATGGGGGAGATACTCTGTAAACAATGTTATCTCTCCACCGTGTTTGCGTGCAGTTTGGGTCAGTCGATTTGTGCCTGTACATTGTCCGAATTCTGCGGCTGCATCTTTCGAAGGACATGGTCTATGTAGCCTCTGTAGGCTGCGTCCTTCGAAGGTCCATGCAATGCATCTTGGGATATGTGGGGCTACGTAGGATCCACCCTTTGGCAAAAGGAGGACGTGTTCCTAGACCGCATTTGAAGGAGCCTTTGAAATGGGACAGCCTTGTCATGCCGCATTCAGTCTTCGAATGGGGCCTATGAACGATGCAGCCCCTGAATTGGGACACAGCCATTGTGCGTATGGATTCAGGGTCCCTCACTGTCATGTTCTTCACAGCCTTCCACGCCTTCTGCGTCGCTCTCTTCACCACCGGAGCTTCGGCTTGGTGCCTTCCTGTCACACTCCTGCTCACCGTCGTCTTTCTTTTCCTGCTCTAAATGCTGTTCTTTGGTCTCATCCTCGTTATCCTGCAGCTCACTTTGGTCTACTCTCTTGTCCTCCTCTTCTGTGCCTTTCTGGACTTCATGCATCTCTCCTTCTTCCTCTCCTTCACTTTGCTCTCGATCAAAGTCTTCTGGGTAACCATCTGGAGAGGACTCTGCACCTGAGGAGGACCCTGCCGCATCCTCATTCTTATTGCTGAAACAGACCACAGTACCACACAACATTGACAATCTCTGTTGACCAATTCACCAGTGTACAGGCCAGGGCTCTTCAAATCTGGCCCTCGATTCCAAATCTAGGCCTTGTTTTCAGTTCTACCAGGTAGTTAGTTTAATAATGAATGATTCTGATTGGCCAGAGGCTTCACATCACGCTCACAGGTAAAAGAAGGCTGGAAAATCAGCAATGCTTGGCCCTTGAGGATCGTGATTTGAATAGCCCTGCTATAGGCCCTGAAACTTTGCATGTATCTGTTTGTGATTCCAGTCGGGGTCTTCATTATTAGTAGAGAGAAACAATAATTCTGTTGTCTATTCTATATCTAAATAGATGGATTTTTACAGGTTTACATAAATTTCTTAAATGACTTTAAAGAATTGATTTCAATGAAAAAAATCTGTAATAATCCTAATGATACTCCATCCATCCATCCATCCATCCATCCATCTTCTAAAATCACTTGTCCTATTCAGTGTCATGGGGGGTCGGGAGCCTATCCCAGAGGTTACGGGAACACGGCAGGAAACAACCCAGGATGGGGAACCAACCCATTGCAGGGCACACTAACACACCATTCACTCACACACCATTCACTCACACACCATTCACTCACACATGCACCTAATGATATTTTACTGCTTTTACACCTGATATCAAATAAGAATGTAATAAGAATATGGTTAATTACATTGATCGCCACCTTGCAATGGTCGTTTTCACTATTTTTCAAGATCTGGCTTATTTATTCCAGAGTTATTCCTTTCTATTTATCTCATTTTTACTTATTTTATTTTACATTCTCCCCCTCCCCATTGTATTTCTGTGGTATGTCTGTATTGTATGTGTGATTGTTGGTTCTGTCGCTTTAGTCTCACCACAAACATTTCATTGTGCAGATGTCTTTGCCATACTGTGCACATGATAAATAAAGACTCTGACTTTCGTTTCACCAGCCTGAACTATTTCTCAGTCAGAAGGGGGGTGAAAGTCACCTCAGCTTATCAGTGTGGGAGGAGGAGCTGAAGGATTTCTCTGAGAGCAGGTGCCTCGATGCCCCATAGCTGACGATGTCTTGGGTCAGTCCATACCCTCTGAGTGCTTCAGCGAAACGCTTCTCTGCAGCCTGCTTGGCGTTCTTCTAATGCAGAAAAAAAGTCCATGTGGTTTGTAATTAAAATCAGTTAGTTCGGAACATTGGCTTTACTCCAAGTATTGGCAGCTGGATGAAACAAATGGTTATTGATTGATCTATTAACTGCATATATTTTTAGAAAACACACTCAGCTCACCAGCGTCACCTGCTCCAGCAGCAGAGGCCTTCCCGCGACCCGCTCCCGGATTTCCCTCATCTCTGCCCCGTACTCTTTCCTGCGCTGGCGGTCCTGCGTCCTGCTCCAAACACACAGGGCAGCGGTAACTCCCGAAGTACGGAGGGAAGATCAGCAAGCCCCTAACAGACATGCACCGTCAGAAGAAAAAGATTACAAATTTGTACCTTTGCTTGTCACTGGGGCTGTACCATCAAGGGTCTGCCAATTATGCCCTAGCTGTAAAGGTGGAAATTTCAGATCCAGAAAGCAAAAATCCAGATTTTCTTTCAATCAAGCAGTGAAGTACTCTGTCTGCGACTGTGACTTTTTGTACACAACTGGTTGGTTGAAACAAAACCTTGGTTTGGATTTTTACTTTCTGGACCTGAAATTTCTACCCCTGCCTAGCTGTAGGTAAATGTACCTTTTAGCCTAATTTAAAGTACAGAAATGGACATTGAGGAACATCCCAAAGGCATAAACAACATTAATGTGCCATCAATGGTACAGAAATATTCATCAGAATCTGTTTCTGTACCTTAAGTTAGTAGTTCTAGGGCCATTAGAAGTGTTACCCTTATATGTAGACAATAACAGATTAGTCCATATGTTAACTAAGGAATACAACTAAAATAAGCTGGGATATTCATATAAATGAACAGTGAATATTAAAAAAAAAATTAAACAAACTAAAACACGATTAGAAGTGTAACCATAAGACCAATGATCAGAACACTTCTTATGTTTAACTTTCTGGTTGGAGAAAACTTTCTTTTTTTAACTTCCCGATAATAGCACATTCAAACATTTACTTGATTTTAGGGAATCAAAATAATAATAATAATAATAATAATACTAATAATAAAGATAATCGATACTTTATTGATCCCTTTGGGGAAATTGTCTTCACGCCTCCCTCAACTTGCTCTTTTTGTTTTGTAGAGTAAGTTGTCCGCGAAGGGCAGCCACCCGTAGCGGCGCCCAGGGAGCTGGGGGTTAAGGGCCTTGCTCAAGGACCCGCAGACATTCTGAGGCTGGGTTTGAACCGGTGACCTTCAGATTCTAATACTCCAGTTGGGTAGGACAGCTTCCAATCAAAATACAGAAAAAAAAGGTCTATATAGTCTGTATGCTTGCTCTGGTGCTCTCATCTTCATACTAGTAATAGTCATGGAGCAGAAACAATGACATGGGCAGTGTTTGGTACCTGAACTGCTTCAGTTTGGTCGGGCAGATTTGGGACAGGGCCGTGTGCGGGTCATTGGCCAGGGCACGTCTACTGATCACTTTCTGCAGCTTCCTCTCTCTCTGTCTCTGCTTCTCTCGCCATCTCTCTTCCTCTTCCTCAGCCTTCCTCCTCTGCTCCAGTGCCCTTCTACTTGGAGAAAAAAGACTGGCGCTCAGGGCGGGAGCTGGGAAATCTGCGGACATGTCCCTACTGATATCCTGCGTGCTTGTATACTGCGAACACTTGGTATGTCATTTTGACGAAGGAGGGAGAGACTTCACATGGGATTCATTCTTCCACAAAAAATATGACTCTAATCGACGTATGGGCTCAAACTACGGACTAATAGCACACGGGCGTGACTGGGGGGCCAGTGAGCTGTTACCTCACGGCCTCTTGACGCTTTTTGGCAGCATCTGTGATTTTGGGAGGCAGGAGTTCCAGGCTACTTGAAAAGGAGGAATGGAGGCTGGAGCCCACAGTCTGTGCCTGGGTGCTATATGGCCTGCGTGTCACTCTGGAGCTCTCCAGTTCTGCCTCCATGGCAGCCTGGATCCGGTCCCGCCGTGATGGGATCTGAGCGGTCCTCAGATGAAAGGGTTCGCAGACGGTCAGGAGTTTCACGTTCCGCTTGTCCTGCAGCCGTTTCCTGAACCTCTGGTAGCTGGCATCGAAATCTGGCACCTCGCTGTTGATTTTTGGCCGGAAGTTGGGATCCGCCTGGATGGTCCCCTCAGTCTTTCCCTCCATGTTCCTCCGCCTGTTGCTCGACCGTCGGGCCAGCATGCTGCGTGGCATTGAAGCGCTGTGAAGCAGCTCCTGGGCCCGCATCTGCATCTTGATGGCACGGTACAGCTGGTCCTCCTTGAGGCGTTCACTTACTGTGGAGTCGTACACCTTCCGCGGAACCGGCTTTACCCTGAAAGCTTTCTTCTCCTCCTTGGGGAGCTGGACCTTCTGCTCCCTCTTCCGACACTCCCTCTCCAAGAAGCTGAACGGCTTCTGGGAGGTAGTTCTCTGCTGGCGGGAGAGGCTGCGCCGCTCCTTGTTGCGCTCGCAGATCTCCTCATACAGGGGGAGGTAGACATGAGTGGGGACGGGGCTGGCATGGAACTTCTTCTGGCATTCGGTCAGCTCTTCCAGTTGCTTCCTCAGCATGGCATTCTCCAGCTCCACCTCCAAGCGAGACCTTACTATCCTCTGCTTCTTCTCTGCCTCACGCAGTGTCATCCGGAAGGGTTTGGGCACAGTTATTTGAGGCCTCTGGCCATCAGGATGCTGCTCCTGCCCAATGCGTTTTTTTTTGCCCTCGGTTCTGTCCTTGAGGACTCCAGGATTCTGGCTCATGGGCTGGATCCTCAGTGGGGAGCAGGATGGAGACCGGGCATGGGGGGTCAGCTCCCCGATGATGAAGTCTTGCCACATGTTCTTGATCTTTTCCTTTGGAGAGATGACAACATTCATCTCTGGCTCGATCTTTACATAGCTGTCTTCTGAAGTGTCCGACATTCCAGAGCTGCCGTAGTGGTCAAAATCCTGGGCAGACGAGGCATTATGCAGCTTCACTGGCACGGAGCAGGGCTTTGTCCACTGCAACCTGAAAAAATATAATACTAGGATTTTTATTAGTGCTGTAAGAAAAGGTATTTTATATACTCATGGGAGGTTTACTGACATTTTGAAAAATATTCTGAGGACAGAACAAAAAATGATTGGCTCAGAGAGATCACTAATCAGATTGTAGAGGAGGTGGGTCCAACCAATCAAACGTCTTGGTACTGCCTCCTTTAGTTGTTTGGACCCACCTTCTCTACAATCTGACTGGTTATCTCTCTGAACCAGTCATTTTTTGTTCTGCCCTCAGAACATTTTTGTGTATGTGAAACTCCCATGAGCATTTTATATGTTTTACACGTTTGTCAACAAGTGGCACCAGAAACTCGGGGATTCAGGTAGGAGAAACAGAGTAAATAGTGCACATGGCGGTGAGGCCAAACCTGTGAGGCACGATATCATCCACAGGAGGTGCGTCCTTTATATCCAGCTTATGCCGGTACATCCCCTCCAGCTCTGCCATGGTCTGCAGGTGGGCCTGTTTCAGCTCCTCCAGTTTCCTGTAATACTCCTCATTGGATAAGCAGAACTCCTGCAAGTCAAAATGATCCCTGGAAATCCCACAGTCCTTTAAAGTCAAAGGACAGTGTGTGTGGTCTTCAGCCCCTCCACCTCCGTCATCTGACTCAGAGTCAAACACCAGCTAGTAGTGAAGAATGACAAAGATCACGCAAGTATTATATTTGATTTACTTTGCTGTATTTCGATAGTTCGTTGTCTTGTGTTTCAATTGTTGGGGGGACCATGCTGATACATTCAAGCGCAAAACTCATCCTGATCTTTCACTAGTGCAATAATCAGGCGTATAGATGGGTAAGAATCAAACCTTGTTTTAGATAAAATTGTCAGCTAAGAAACTACAGGTAATGCAGCTGCAGTACCTGTTAAAGCTGGATTATTCTATATGAACAGCTCTGTGGAGTAGCCACTCTTTACTGAACTGCATTTTTAATGTTTTATATGGCATCACAGCATGGTCACATGACACATGATGCTGTCACATGATTGCTCGGTGGTGAAGCTTTGAGTCCGGCCTCAGCTCTGCTCAGAGGGCAGTTTGCAGGCTCTGCCACGTACAATGATTTAATTCCCCAAACCAAAGACATGCTCATCCGGGGAGCTACCATTCCCCCCAATGTTCTTGCTGGGATAAGCTTATCCTGTCTGGATCCATGGTTACGTCCCACCTAAAGAACCACCTTTTAAATCTCACACTTTGTAGGAAAGCTTTCATTATGTGTCTCTTTTGCAATGATGGAAAAACTGGCTTTCAGGTCAGATTTTGTTTGAGTCTGGGGAAGCCAACTCTGCGGGGTTAAGCTTCACAAATAAGCTCATTAACACCGTGTCTACTGATTAAGAGACCATATGGCAGTCAGCTAAAGTGGGACGTCGCAGGCTTAAATGGGGGGGTATATGCCCTGAGACACGGGGAGGGGGGGCATACAGTTCATGCCTCAATATACTATGTTGAGCTAATTAAACATCAAATAAACAAATACATATTTTAATAAATATCCCATCCATGTTCTAAATGCGTATGCTGATCAAGATCACAGGGTTAATAATAAGAATACAACAATAGAAATACAGAAATATGGGAATACAAAGATTTAAGTGCCATTGTTTTGAACATATCAGGTTCTTACAGACAACACAGCCCCAGGTAAGAGAGCTGACACTGACTTTTAGGGCTTTTTGGCTGTCTTGGTATCAATATGTAGATACATACAGAAAGCAAGGGTTTACCTGCATGTGCAATAGACAGTTAATGCATGTTGTTAATAAATAAAGATAGAAAAGTCCTTTGTAATATTAGAACATGTTTGATTTGTTAGTCCATGATCAGCATAAATGTAATTTCAGCTAAGGACAAAGAAAAGAAATGTAATCAAACTTTATTGAATCATGCTGAGTCTAACCCATTTTTATATGAATGCTGGATTGAATCACATTCTCTGTATGACCCCTGATAAAGTTACATGCTCTTTCTAATACCAGATTCTTAGTATCCAGTGTATTCCATTGTTTGGTCAATCTGTGAATTCAATTCACCATATAGCTGTTTTCATTAGTATCAAAACATCAATTTAGTTACACGGGCTAACAATCACAATGATCATCCATTCTATTAACTTTCCTACAGTCTATGGGAAGGTTGTGGCAGCTTATACCAAGGAGCACGGGGCAATTAAAGGGCAGGGGGCACCCTGAACCGGGCGTCACTCCTTTACAGAGGTACACCGATTTACCCAAAGCAGGAGGAAACCCGCGACCAGGGGAAAACATGCAAACTCTGCACGCCAATAGCCGCAGGCAAGAACGGAACCAGCACCCATGATGGTGGGAGGGAGACCACACTTCTTATTGGGTTTCAAACGAGTTTTATTCATAATTTATAAATATAAATATCTAAATTATAAATATAACATAAATATAATTTATATTACCTGACAATAATAGCAAATTTGGACAAGATATAATAAAGATATAATTAATATATTACGACATAAGATTCAGTATCTTTAAAGTAAAGGGACTGCATGAACGTCAATCTTTAAACCAAAAATACGTACGGTTGTATGCTTGGTTAAAGGTGCCTTTTAGTGAAGTGATTGTATATCTGTCACGAAATTGTGCAGCTTTTAAAAACGAAAAAGTTATGCTCGTTATTGTTTTAATTCCAAACAAGAACAGAGTCTGGATACAGATTTAGTAAGAGAGTACACGTGATTTTTTTTTTTTTAATTGTCACAGTATTAAGTAAATTAACATCGAAGCTTTTTCCTACATTTTATATAGTTATTAAGAAAGTTATATTATAAAGTTATTCAGCTGCAATAAAAGTTATAAATCGGACATTCTGTCTGGGGTATACTCACATTGAAATGTGGGGGTCGGTTTACTTTACCTCTTTCTCGTAACATCGGGTGTCCGTGCGCCCCATCGCGCGAGGATCCCCCCTATCTCTCTCATAAAGCGCTAGAGGTGCCTTAGACTTCGGCTTTACCGGCGGCCTTAAGCACGACGTCACTATTACGTTTGTCCCATGTAAATTGTCCATTGCTCTCACAAATTGCTAAATCTTCAGATATACTTCTTGCTGCCCCACTCAGCGGACAGTCCTATAGGAACCCGAGGCGTCGTTGCCCCGGTAACTGGAGTTCTGCTACAACGGTATGGCTCTAGGGCCAAAAAGCCTATGGCGTTTTGTAAAGCGGACAACGATTTCTGTGCTCAGACGGCCTTCTTAAATTAACACGCTTTAAGAAAATGTCGCACCGAATGTTGATAAAAGGCTTAGCGATAAACCAAGTAAAGTTATAGAATTAAAAGTGTGATAGCCATTTACAGAGCTCCTCATGTGCCAGATACTAAAAGGCATCTTCAATTTTAGTATTAATTAGTCCGACAAATTCCCAACTGCCTTAGAGACCAGGCAACCATTACAGAAATGTACAGCTTTATGTGCTTTAAAAAAAACAACTAAATGTGTAAGAATCTTGTATGTCATGGACAACAGTTTGGACATTTGCATTATCTTCACAATCGCTGTTTCGAGGGCATGAAAAGTACAGAATCCCCACATAGCACTGAATGAAACGAGCATCTATTCTTCATGAGAATTTTAAGATATTAATATGGTGCCATTTTAAAATGGTTACCATATTGCAGTGTAACTACTCCTTTACAATAAGCACGCTGTGACTGAATGAAGTCATCAAACAGATGAACACAGACAAAAGGCTCATTTGAAAAACAAATTTATTAAATAAGGTAACAATTAGCTTGCACAGAGGACACCTACATCATGTTTAGCAAGTTAACTCCCATGATGCCACGCGGTGACCTGGCATTTTCCTTGCGATGTCACCTCCCCTGCTCATCGGGTATTCACCTGCCACGTGTAAGAGGGAAAACCAAGGGTTTGCAAAACAAAGTGGCTTTCATGTGGTACACACCATGTTTGTAAGGTAAAGACAGATTGGTCAGGGATGCCAGAAAACCAGCATAATAGCATTACTTGGAATGGCTGTGTATGATCTCTGATTTGTAGCTGATATAACTTTATTTTCCAAAAAAAAAAAAACAGATTAACTGATTAAAGAACAGCATAATATATGGCACTAGCTGTGTAAAAGCACAGGGGTATTAAGCAGACAGGCCTTGGTTACTAATCATTAAGGGCAAAGATGGAAGGCTCCTTACCACATCATCGATCTTGAGGATGCTGCGGACCGTCTCCGTGGCGAGCGTCAGGGCACTGATGGACACCAGTAGGGGCTGAACCACCAGCTCCTCGAGAATGTTGGAGATACCACCCTATGAGAAGGAAGAGCGTGACCCATGTGTGCATGCTAATAATGAGGACTGAAACACAGCGGGCCAACAGTAACCTGCTCAGGGAACCCAGATCCCAGGCCTCCAGAGCATAACCCATGTGTGCATGTCATTAATGAGGACTGAAAGACAGCGGGCCAACAGTAACCTGCACAGGGAACCCAGATCCCAGGCCTCCAGAGCATAACCCATGTGTGCATGTCATTAATGAGGACTGAAACACAGCGGGCCAACAGTAACCTGCACAGGGAACCCAGATCCCATGGAAACCCCACCTTGCGGACGTTGATCCCGGCAGTCTTCTCGCCCTGGGCATGGCGGTTACGCAGCTCCGTCACGGTGGAGATGGGGTTGAGGCCGGCGTTCTCGGCCAGCGTGGACGGCACCACCTCCAACGCATCGGCGTACGCCCGGACGCAGTAGGCCTCCATGCCGCCCAGGACCCTGGCGTACTCTGCCAGGCGCAGGGCCAGCTCGATTTCAGGGGCCCCTCCGCCTGCGATCAGAGCCCTGCAGAGAGTCATAGGGCAGGGGGGACATCAAGATTCATGCAAACGTCAGAAAATGAGTGAGACTGCACAGAAACATGCTCCTTTGAAGGTCAGTTCCAGCACCGCACCTCTTCTTCACCAGGCAGCGGACGACGCAGAGGGCGTCGTGGATGGAACGCTCGGCCTCCTCGATGACCAGCTTGTTGGACCCGCGCACCACGATGCTGACAGTCTTCCCAGGGCTGGTGCAGCCAGTGATCTACAGGCAGGCACAGACCTCTCAGTGAGATTGGATTCGTAGCTCAAAGAGCAGCACAAGGACCTGTACAATAACCCTCATTACTGTTAACTGTACTACTGTAATACATGCTTATCTCATACTATATACATATGTAATAAACTATATTTACTAAACATGCCAACACATATCATATACAGTGGTTAACCTATTTCAAATCATATATATTTTATGGTTTTAATATTTTACATACTAGTTTATCTTAATTCCCTTAGTATTCATATGTACCTCAAAGCATTGCAGAGGAATCACATGCATTGAGTTTCGCTGCAATTTGTCACAATGACAATAAAGCCAAAGTCATTCTATTCTGCTGACTATTACACTGCGAAGATAATTACCTGATAGGTAACTTGACATGAAAGTTAAAACATGGCAAGAGTTTTAATTGCTAAAGTGTCTATTGTTAAGTATATGTGCAGATTTCTTCATTGGATTCAGTAGGTTACCTTGACCAGCTTCCCAGATCCATCCAGATTAACCTCCTCTGCCAGCTCCGCGGTGCCCAGCATCTCAGGGGTAAACTGGTCGATATGGGCGACGGGCTTGGTTCCAATTGTCTGCACAGACACACCACCGGATGAAGCCCTGGACCCACTTTCAACACAGTCAAGTTTGTCAGATAGAAAGTACCCACTACGCCAGTGCCAACGCAAGTCCATCTACCTTACAAATGAACTCGATATCTTCCCGCTCGATATCCTTGACGACCATGATCTTCATCTTGTTTAAGAAGTGCAGAGCCAGGTCACTGAGGGCATCTCTGAAGACAAAAACCAACGGCAGGTCACTCACTGGCAATAGACAGATAACCAATAAACTCACTTATAACCCACGGTGAACTACAGACGCTCTCCGGGTTACACTGGTCCGTGTTGCGATATTTCAACTTTACGATGGATATTCCAGTTCCATTGTTTTTTCACTTTCAGTACATTTTTCAATAAATTAAATGAGATATTCAACGCTTTATTATAAAATAAGCTTTGCGTTAGTGATTGTGTCCAACTGTAGGATAATGTAAGTGTTCTAAGCATGTTTAAGGTAGGCTAGGCTAGGCTATGATGTTTGTCAGGTTAGGTATACTGTATTAAAATGTACTTTTCCCTAACGACAGGTTTATCGCAATGTAACCCCATTGTAACCTGGGAAGCATCTGTACTTAGCCAATGCAAATCATTCAATCAGAACTCAGCATGAGTTTAGCAAAAACCCATATGAGGAATGTTACCTAAGTATAGACTTCTGAATCAGCAGCACGTTACAACCAGCCTTCTTGATCTGTTTCACCAGGTTGAGGATGTAGGCCCTCTCTTCACGCAAGACCCTATCCATCTGTGCGTAGTCGGACACCACAATCTGGTTGTCCATCTGCATGAAGAAGCAAAGCGAAACGTCGGCTCGCCCCTCAAGAGATTCTCCATCTAATCACTGGGCCAGATGGTACGGTTCAGGATGACCGAGTCACAATGAGACTCACGTCGGTCTTCGGAGGAGAGAGGCAGAACTGAATGAGTCCGATCTTGGCTTTCTCCACGCGGGAGACGCCGGAGTTCACCACCCTCTGAGTGAGCACCAGTCCATCGATGAGCTCACAGTCATCAATGGTCCCCCTGCAGAAGGAACCTGCTGCTTAGCATTTAAGGCAAGAAAAGGCACCAGATGCCTGTAAACTGTGTGCAATTAGCATTTCTCCCTGTATTTTGTGGTTTCCGCCAATAGTCCAGAGATATGCAATTATATGGTGGCTCGAAATTGTCCATATCCTTATGTGTGTTTATGCGCCTTATTATGGCCTGGCATCCTATTCGGGGTATATCTCAGCCTATGCTGCCTGGGATAGGCTCCAGGCCCCTCCCCCTTGGATGCTGACCAAGATAAGCGGTTTAAAGACCAATGAATGAATGGAAAAGGCACCGGTTTACTGTGATGAGCTGAAGAACAACTAGTGAGTTGTAAGCTCTGTCTACTGCACACTCTGAATGAAGATGCTGGGGAGAGGAAACCAAGAACATGATCTGGCCCATAATCACAGACCCTCAATCATGCCCAAAAGCTGCCCAGCACCGCCGAGCCTCAGCTGAGATCTATGTGCCGTGGCGCCCGTTCCCGTGGCAACGCCTACCCAAGCTTCTTGACGATCTTGATGTCCCGCAGGTCGACGCTGGTGGCCGAGGATGGATCGATGACTCGCATGACGGCATCCACGCTCATGGGGGCCAGCAGGCTGGAGTACTGGGACACCACCTTGGAGCAGAGGGCGGTGGTGGCGCTGTTGAGCAGCGTCTCCGTGTCGCTGAGCTGCACGGGCTGGCTCATGCTCGTCAGCACTTCCACGCCTTTGTCCACAGCCTTCTGGAAGGACTCCGAGATAGTGGTGGGGTGGATACCTGCCAGAGGCACCGCATTATAACATCGCCCCCCCGCTAGCGCTGCTGAAACGGTAGCTTGATTCTGGGTTTGGACTTGGATAGGAGCAGTTAGGATGATCTCTCTGCTAATGTTTTTTTAGGATTAAACAATGTACAAAGGAAACTAAAAACTCACCTTTCTGGAGAAGTTTGGAACAGGCATCAAGAAGAGCTCCAGCAATCACCACCACAGATGTTGTGCCATCCCCAGCCTCAATGTCCTGGGCCTTTGACAGCTCCACCAGCTATGGAGCACACAGTTTTAACCAAGCTGTCAGTCAGAGACCACGTGGAGTCTAACGATGAAACATCCTTAACCCTCCAGCCTAGATGTTAGACTTTTTATTGGTTTGTTTCAATCCCACTAAAGAGCCCCTGCCATGCATAAGGCAGCCCATGAGCATGACAGGAGCAGAGAGCATCACTGTGGCAAACTCCCCACGTAAGCACACACACCATTTTAGCAGCCGGGTGCAGAACTTGCATCAGCTTAAGGATGGTAGCGCCATCGTTGGTTATGGTGACGTCGCCCTTACCGTCCTGGATCTGTAGTTAAATAAGACAAGAAATGCTTTTTTTAGACAAAGTGATCAACACAACCAGACATGTTAAGTTGAGCACAACTCTCCCTACCATCTTGTCCATTCCCTTGGGGCCCAGGCTGGTTCTGATGGCATCAGCAACAGCTGTCAAAGCAAAAACAAGGAATCAATTTCAAATTCAAATGTTTCAAACCCGCTCAATATTACATACTGATATTAGCATAATATGTTACGTCAGTGGTTAACCCCCGCACAGCCCAAACAAGGCCATCATTTCGAACCAGAAAGAATCTCAAGCAGTTTCTATAATTTTCAGTCTACTTCCAATTGGAACGATTTTTTTGGACATTAACATCCATAGTACGACAAATGAAATAGATTTTGTTTTTAAAAATCATTAATGTTAGACCTTACAATGGCATCGTGATTTCTGCAAACTCATGGTGGCAAAGATTTACCAAGACGAGCATGTTACGATTAAGCAATCAGAAAACTATTCGGCGCATAAATACATTATGGGATAACGAAAAATGACAGGACGTGATTATTTTTTCATCTTTCCGAACAGTTTCTGACTGCAGACTAAGCAAGAACCGTTACTTCATTCATTGCCGCATAACCTGCCAGCTCCGAGTCCAACTATTCCGTTTAGGAAATACGCAGAGATGAAAATAATCAAGAGAAATGAAAGTGCAAAATGCACTGTTACCTTTTGCAGCAGATATGTTGCTAAAGCGAATCTGGGCAGGCTTATCCCGATCTACATATGCGCCTCCTTTGTTTTTTCCATTGGAAGCTTTCGAAGCACCGACGACTTCAGGCATGGCTACTTATTTTTGTATTCAGGTATTATAACAGTTAGTGAAAGGAGAGTCGATGTATCCCCGACCCCCGAAATAAATTTTAAGCCTCGGATGGATGTAGATTTTACTTGGCCCCTTATTCTTTCCTCAATTTAGGCGGTTCCGTCACGGAACCTTCCAGAGCCCTGAGGTGCGACGGAAGGCGAAAGGACCCAATGCGTGCGTTCTGACGAATGAATATGACGCTGTTTCACTGTCTAAGTAAAATGCCTGTTAAATGTATTTATTTTCTGTAGCATATAATTTTGTGGGAACCATTCAAATGAGTTTTTTAAATTAACAAATCTTTATAATACATCTACTTATATTTTGTTGACATAATTCAACATAATGTATTTTGCTTTATAAAGTTTTAATTGTAATTATAATGCGGCATTACAAGTGGGATATTCGTAGCGGTAAAATTAAGCAGTGTAATCTGTGCAGGTTTGTTCATACAAAAAGGCACGAAGAAAAGAAAAGAATTAAAAGCGGATACTGATAGTCGACAGACGTGTACTTATTGCTGCAACGTGCAAAAAACATTATTTGACACATTGTCCTCCAATAAACTAGAGTAAATAAAAAACTACAAATTTTTGTTACAGTAGGATGACCATATTTTGATTTGCAAAAAAGGACACCGATAGCAGGAAGCAGAGACACGCCAAAACAACGCAAATGTGCACAAAGTATTACGACTGTAGAAAGTAGATTTCAACCTGAAATAAAGCGAAATGTAAGCAATTTTTAGGTCCCGAATACAGGGCAAGTCTGAGCAAAAGAGGACATATGGTCACCCCAGTTATAGTTTATTAAAATGTATAATCTGTTACATAAACATTGGGAAGTAAACTACGGTATAACATGTAAGTCATTTTAATATGGAAATAACGTGATTATAAAGAATAACTTAATTATAATAAAATCGCACATAAGAGACGTGTTTTTATGTGAATGACCTTCAGTGGACATTTGTTCTGTTCACTCTGTAAATTATTAAGATATTCTTTAAATTAATATGAAATATATATTTTAAAAAGGTACTATGGTTAACCACCTGATATAGGGGTTTGTGTATAGAGTTTGCGTGGTCTCCCTGTGTTTTCTTCTGTTTAGTGTAGACCACCCCACCCCCCAAAATGGAAATTCATACGGTTAATCTTATAAAATTGTCCAGTGTGTTCAAGTGTAAACGCTGCCTCGTGTTCTGTGTTTCCTTCTCAGATTGCCTTAAGGGAACATGCCAATGGCAGACCTCGAGACACAGGCGGAAGACCATTCTGAGACCAACTACACAATTCTGACACAAGGTGGCGCCCGAGCCCAGTTGTAGAATGAAAAGCCACCTTCCGTGATAGAGTGGTCACGTGATCCGAGTAACGTGACCGGAGGCCGAAGCTCGCGCAAGACAGAATGGCGGATGTCGACAATCTTAAGTCACTCAGCGGTTTACTAAACGGAATAGCTCAAAAAGCATATTATAATAATCTGGAGATTACAGAAGAACTTCTGAAGAATGAGCTTTATTCAGATCTGTCACAAGAAGAGTTTCATACTTTGCATGAGAAGATGAAGGGTCTCTTAAAGGTAGCCGAAGAGCCTGCTTTCAGTGGCAGTGCTCATTGCTAAGATTCATAATGGTCAAATCAACATCTTTGCCTGGTCGTGTAGACTAGCCTAAGTTGTTCACATTAGCGAATTGGGTCCTGAGAAGCTGCAGAACTAGCCGATGTTCATCGGTAATTTCAGTTGTCTTAAAGCTTTGCACCATGCACTTTGTGATGGTGCTTTACTTATCGTAACATTTGTTACGAAGTGGCTGTCAGCTGTCGTTTAAATTGTTTCGTAAAATCAAGTTATCGTCAGCCTTAAGTATGGCCGTTTCAGGGTGTTTTCCTTCCTTCCATTTTAAAGTACGAACTGCTATGTTTAAATGATCAGATATTTTAAATGTTGTGTTTCGTGATCTTCTGGGCAGATTTTCTAACAGGGTGGGTAGCTGTCTCAGTACAGCTTATTGCATTTCCGTCAATTTAAAGGTCAGTCAGCCAGCACCCCCCCACGACGCCAGTACAACTTGTCTTTTCATTCCCAATTGCTCTAAATGATTAACATAAATAGATGTACTGTATAGTTACGTGTTTTAATAGATGTATGAGCAACCATGTACTTACGTCTCACATACTCTGCAACGATAAATTAGTAATAATGAAAGTTGGTAGACACCTGATGATAACCTTTATGTCCTATTTATTGGTAAGCATATTGATAAACAACATCTGGAAGTAGATGGAATTTTAATTATTTATTTGGTAATTGTAGTGTGCAGAAAAATGAGTAGCTGTCACCTGGTTTGTTCCTCATGGTGCTGTTTCTATGCTGCTGTTTCCCTTTGCCTCAGTCCATTGCCACAGCTGATATGGATCAAGCCCAACTGGAGGCCTTCCTGACAGCCCAGACTAGGAAGCAGGGCGGTGGGGCAGTGAGTGCGGAGCAGGCAGCCGCCCTGTCCAAGTTTTGGAAGAACCAGCGGAGCCGGATAAGGGAGAGCCTCCTGGGGCAGAGTCGCTGGGAGCCCACTCTTCGGGGCATGAGCTGGAGGGTGGACCTGCAGACCTCCACCAGCAGAGGGCAGCCTGTCAGCAGCCCTGTTGCCTTGGTGGAGCTCGAGCTTGGCAGGGCTGGGGAGGTACGGCTGATGCTGGTCTGCCATCATATATGCTTTTCACGCTAGATGAACATTCAGTCGTAAAAGATCGATCAAATTGTATGCTAAAATTAGAAGTATTACCCCATCCTATGGTCTGTGTAGATCCCAGTGCAGTGATGGGGACATTGTGCTTAAAAATGGTACCGTCCTTCAGAGGAGACATAAAACCGAGGTCCTGACTCTGTGAGGTCATAAGAGATCTCTGGGCATCATTCAAAAGTGTAGGGGTGGTACCCCAATGTCCTGGCCAGAATTGCCCACTGTGCCCTTTTCAGATCTGGCCTCCTAATCATCCCCAATATCTAATTAGTGAATTCTTTCTGGCCCCTTCACCACATTTGCTACTGTGTGGTGAGAGTACTGGTGCAGAATGGCTGCCATCACATTATACAGGTGGGGGCTGCACAGTGGGGGTGGTTGAAGTGGCTCCCCACTGGTTCTGTAAAATGCTTTGGGCGTCTTGAAAAGTGCTATATAAATGTTGATTCCTGCCTTACTGCTGTGAAAAAAGTTTGAGCATGTATGCAAACCTAGCAGTTAAAAAAATCTGTCTTTAAAGGTAATCTGTACCTTAAAACAAGCAAAAAGGTATTTTGTTTTATTGTGAGATGAAAAGCCCTGGTTGGTGTTTGCGGTCTGCACACCTCTGGCACACACACCATTTTTGGAAAGGAGCTGTCCTCCAATCGCAGGAGACTTTCAGGCAGCATCTTTCCTGTCGGTGAATGCTCACTGGCTGACTCGAATGCTCACTGGCTGACTCGAATGCTCACTGGCTGACTCGAATGCTCACTGGCTGACTCGAATGCTCACTGGCTGACTCGAATGCTCACTGGCTGACTCGAATGCTCACTGGCTGACTCGAATGCTCACTGGCTGACTCGTCTTTCCTGATGTCATGGACGTTTTGCTGGTGCTGGCCCCCAGGCTGTAGTTGGCTTGTGGCTGTCCTGACTCTGCGCATCATCGCCTCTCTAACTTCTCATAAGCACAGGACCTCACCTGCAATAAGAGTGCGGCTGTAAGGAGTAAGGTCGAACCCCGCCACAGGTGGGATTACCCCATCCTGGTTTAACCCCATACTGGTGATTCCTTGGGTTCCCAATGTGTTAAACCAGATGGTAACTGATGGTTTGTGACCCACTGCTAGTCAGGGTACAGTCAGTTATCTCTAATCAGAGGCCTGGTAATACCAGTCTTGAACACATTTGATGTAGTCGTATGGTGTAATATTGAAGTCTTACCCTATACAGGTGACCGCCGATTTACAAAAGTTCGCTTTATGCCATTTGCACTTTTACAAAAGACCTACATTAACACCTGTTTTCCCTAACCAAAAAAAAATCTGAAGGTTTTCTTTTTACGAAAACAGGAGTGAAAATAGCATTTTGTGTTTATCAGCAAGCCAGTTATAGACATAGTCATGCATTGCCTAATGACAATTTGGCCAATAATGGACCACATGTGGTGGTCTCCTATGGATATAATAGAGCTGAAACATACGCTATAATTTTCATACCTTCATAGCGTAATGCATTACTCACGTTTGCTGTAATGCTGGTGTGAACAAACCTGCCGCACTGCCGAGCGTATAGAAGTATAGCACATGCTATTATATACATAATACTTGATATAATATGATTGTGTTACTGGTTTATGTATTTAACGTGATGCACTTTTTATCGTCATTTAGCATAGGTATGTTGTAGGCATTACCAGCTAGGTTTGTGTAAACACACTTTGCTGTTCTCACAGTGGTGAAACCACCTAATGACACATTTCTCAGAACATGTCCCTATCGTTAAGCAACGCATGACTGTATTGATTTCGGTAAGTGAAACTACACTGTACAAACATCATTTCTGCTTTATAGATGCGGTGTATTTCTCATCATTCCTGCTTTTACTATATGTTAGTGGTATTTTAGGTTTTACTTGTACTTTGGTATGATTTGGTAGGTTAAGATTAATTTAATTATTGGACTTTTGAGTGAGTTGCTTAATCCGAATTTCACCGGGGACTGTCCGTCCCCGTGCTCTCACTGTCCCCCGCGCTCTCACTGGCCCCCGCGCTCTCACTGGCCCCCGCGCTCTCTCCCTGTCCCCCGCGCTCTCTCCCTGTCCCCCGCGCTCTCTCCCTGTCCCCCGCGCTCTCTCCCTGTCCCCCGCGCTCTCTCCCTGTCCCCCGCGCTCTCATTTATATGCCACTTTGGATAAAAGCATGTGCTAAGTGAAGGTAATGTTGTGTTGTGCCTGTCCTGTATTGTAGGGCCCTCAGCATTGGTCATTAATAACTTGTAGTATTAGTTCACGCTGCTCAACTAGTTGTTTTTGGTTATGGTGTGATCAGTAACTGGGTATTTTAATCAGTGTTTGTTAAATACTGACAGGTGCCACTAGGTGGCATGTGTCCCATTCTGTGTCTAACATAGCTTCCTGAAAACCCATTACCAAGCTAAATGAATGATTCATTGATTAATCTGTTTAATTCACACTTAATTGTCTGTTGCTAGTTATCTGTACACATGGTGTTGCTAAGTGACACAAATACCAGAGATTAATCACACTGCTGAACAGTGTACAATCTGGAGGCCCGTGTACACTGTACACTACAGTATGTTTTCAGGCAGTTAAAAAAAATAAAATGGGTGGGTGGTTTGTTGCCTTAGTCATATTTGTTCAGCTGCCACTCAGCTTTAATGGAGGCGCTCATGTTTGCTGTGATTGGCCAGCGAAGGACCCCTGAAGGAGGCGGAGCTTCAGGAGAGGATTAGCACGCTGTGTGTTTGATTTGCCTGTGGCTTGTGTTTGTCCGTCCTGCTGCCGTGCTGCCGGCTGCGTGCGAGGAAGCCGCGGGAGACGCCTCGTTACAGTTCCCTCGCGGCGTCTGCGTGCTTCGTGTGCGGCGGCCCAGTCCCGCTCGTGCTCACTGAATTATTTCTCAAAACTGGTTTCCTTGTAAGAGAGCCCCAGAAAGCAACTTTCGAAAGCGGATGGAGATGCCGCTGCCTAGATGAAAGATGGGTGGTTGTTTAATTTTAAGTGCGGGCATATTAATGGACACCCCCCCTCCCCCATTGTCCTTTGAGAAGTCTTTGCAAGAACTGTTCTGCATTTTTGATGTGGTCTTCCCTGCAAGGTGACACAGAAGGAACATTCTGTGATCATCTTCCGTCTAGGCTGTGTTTCTCTCACCCCCCCCCCCCCCCCCCCCCATGTGAAATGGATGGTAGATTTAACCTCATGTCATTAAAGTTTCACTATAGCTGACAATAGACATTGTGCCCTCTATTGTGGCCTCTCCTGCACCTAGCCTAGAAAAGCCCTTCGGTGCTTGGATGAGAGAAGAACTCTTCCCCTCTGTCTCTCCCTCACGTTTAATTTTCCACTTCTCCGTGCTGGCTCTGCTGTTGCGTGCCTCGCCTTCCCGTCCCACTCTGTACTCACCGCTCCGGGGATAGGCACGCCGAGATCTTGTGACTAAGGTGGCTCCTCGCGTAAGCTGTAAATCCTGACCTACCCCTCTTCTGGTATCTAGCACGGGGCCACATGTGGCTCTGCAGGTTGGGGTGCTGTGTCTGACATCAGAAGGTCGCCGGTTCAGATCCTGAAGTCGTCAGGGTGATTTTCTCTCTGAGCAGCGTCCTTAAAAGGCAATTGTTGCTTTGGGAAATGTAGCGAATAAATATATTGTAAATGTAATGGTGCTGATAGCTGCATGACATTAACATAGGTGTCGAATGAGCTATTACGCTACTATATTGTCTTGACTACCGTCTAACGTGTAATAGTTCATTGCTTTGAATTTTATTCACAGCCTTTGATCTTTGAAATACGGCCCCTTTGTATGGGTCGGGCACCCCTTCCTCGCAGAGCTTGTCGCTGTGGCTCTCAGCCGCGACGCGTGCGTATGACATGGCGTGTAAACGTTCACGGCCGTGAAACGGCTCCTCCTTCCTCAGCGGCTGAGCCCCTCTCTCTCCTAAAGGCTTCCGTGTCACACGTGATCCGCAGCGACTCTGCCAAGATCAGGGCTGTGTCAGGATCCTCTTCCTCTCTAGGCGGCTTCCGCGTGTATAAACATCACAAGGTTACGATTCTCCTGTCTCTCTGCTATCCTAATAAGGAATATTACAAGCTGGGACATGCTTAAAGCAGCAGTTCGACTGGGCAGACGAATGCATGTGAAATTAAGCTAGCAAAGTGTAAACAGTTTAAATGTGGGTTCCTGTACTGTTCTAGTGTAAACCGCTAGGAAATGAGAAGGAAGTCATTTCCTGTGGGTGAAAAATACACTTGGGTTTAACCACGCGGTCTGCTTCTCTAGGGTCAGGATGGATCAAACGCCACAGAGCTGCAACTTGATGGTTTGAGCAGAGAATGACAGTGAGGTGATAGAGCTGGGGGAGGTGAGGGGAGGGGAGGCTCGGAGGGTAGTCAGTTTCACCTGAGCAGTGATTAAGCTGTTGGGGGGTTTCAAGAGTGGGTGGGCTTCATGTTTGGTGAAGCGTGGATTGAGAAGGGTTAGCATTGTTGTCTGTTTCGGACTTGCACTCCCTCGGAGATGGAAATGCTGACCACTGCCCTTGGCGCGCTCTCATTGCCTAGCAGATACTCTTAATGTAGATGATATCATGACACATTGATTCTGATGTCATCTTTTTATACATTAGCAGTGCGTAGGCTGAAAGCAGGCGACATTTAACCATGCAAATGTCATTCGTTTATACATCTGCAGAAATCTGAAGCTGTTTGAGTTAAGTTGAGTCTTCTCTTGCTGTAGCAGGGACTGTATATTTCCTGTTTTTCTTTGGGGCCAAGTTGAGGCACCACCCTCACGCACACAAAATTATCGTGGCGGTTAATTTTCCAGTAAGTGCTGCCTTGCTATGAATGAAACGCTCCAGAGAAGTGGATCTTTATCAGACCGAAGGACAAAGCAGTGAGTTGATACACTGATAGAAAACGGCAATCTGGAGC